GACTTTGCTCTTCTAGTCCAGATTTGACCAGTTTATATAAAGTAGCTTTAGATCTGGAGCTGGTTTGATGTGATCCAGATGCAAAAAATGAACAATTAAAGCAATGAAATCTCTTTTTTTTTTTTACATTTGCAATCATTGAATAAATGTCTCAAATCTTTGAAAGCTGGTTTCAGACAGCATTAAACATTTGCCTGAAATGTCTAATGCATCATTAAAATGGAGAAAAACTGAGCTGCAAATTTGGATTCCTTCAACTTTTTCCCTTAAATACTGAATCAGAAGCTGACTTGTGTGTGGTGGTGACCTGTGTTTTGTGACACTTGGTTCTCTCGGGTACTGAGGTAAAACTAAACCTGGCCCAGTTTCTAGGCAGACAGATGAATGTTTAAGTGCCACAAACTGGGTTAGCTGCTATTACTGGCTTAAGGCAATTACAAACAGAATCAGCTCAACACAAACTAAACCTCAGGGAGCAGGTATCTCAGCGGATTGCTCACAGCTTCCTTGAATGATACCTAAGGTGTGTTTCAATAAGATGGCAGCAGTAAGTGAGCTGGACCTGTTGCTTCTAAACTATCTCAAGTGATTGAATATGTGCAGGATTCACTGGTTCTCCAAAAGTTAAGACTTATCTTTATTAAAATTAGTAGCTACTAGTGTGAAATGTCTCAGAAATGATTAACGGGAAATTTCTCAGAATAAGTGGGTTTAGTTGTGTTATTGTACAAGTTATAGATTGCTGAAGTTTGTTTTTGGCACTTACAAATGGGTTTGGGATACGAGTACAAAATTACAATAATAACAAATAACAATACTTAAAGCCCACGTCTGTCTTTTTAGTAATTCAAAAAATACAATCTTAAAATATCTGATAAAGTATGAATCTGTCTGTTTTAATTGCCCACATTTTCACACAAGTCTACACATGGGAATAAATTAGAGAGGAAGATTTTAGATTTTAATTGTTAATTTCCCACAGAATATTTTTTCTCTCTCTCTGCAAAACACATGTCAAAACCTGGATCTCAATTATGCTAATTTTCTGTTCATCACAATCAAAAAGAAACGTCCTTTTCTGCTATATTTCTAAATAAATTATCGTTCACAGCGCAGCAAAAAATAAAAAATAAAAAACAACCCTTTAATCAATATTTCATTACAGCAGCCAGAAGCAGTGGAGATGTTTGTGTTGTGTATGATTGCTGCTGTCACGGAATTATTACCTCTTTCTATGTGACGAGTTATTTTTGTCGCACCTGTAGCCTTGAATAATGATTCTGAAACTAGCTTTGGTTGTTGCTATATTGACAACTTGATTTTACAGCCGTACTTCTGTCTGCAGGCTGAAATCTCTGGGTGAAGGCTGCAAAGTTTGGTCGTCCAGTGCGCCAAATCTGGGCAAATCTCCCAAACATGCCCCCATGACTGCTGGCTTCTCCAGCCTCAATGAAATGGGTGAGTCTTTGCTTTTCATTGTGAAACTGTGCATCACTAATCGCAACAATCAACCCGATCTTTTTTTTTCTGTCTTTACCAGAGGAGTGCTGCGAGTTCGAGGAATCACCGGGCTCCTTACAGCCCTCGGAGACCAGCAGTAACGGGGCCATGGAGGACTCGGGGTCCCTGTGGAGCAGCTTGGGGCCCAACATGGCACCCGGCGTTGGTAACACGAGCTCCTGCCAGGGGTCAGGAAGCGCGGGGACGGGGGTGAGCTACCAGGACTCGCTTCGTCGCTGCAGCCAGAGGAAGAAAAGCGACATGCTGCTGCTGGGTTGTGCCTCTCTGCTCGCCTCTGTGGCTCTGGGTCAAGACCTGCTGCAGCTGGGAAAACTGCAGGTGAGAAAACAGCAGCACAATGGCAGTCTGATAGCGTCCGTCAGAGCTGAACAAGACTTATAGCTGAGCTACTGTGTTGGACTTGATTTCTCCTAATAGAGTAGCTACTTTTGGCAGCATTCAGTGTGTGGATTTAGAGTTTCTTACGGCGCTTTTGCTATTTTTGTTTGCAATCCTGATTTAACTGGGACCTGCTTCATTTACACCCACCTCCCTTTGATGGTTTGTGCTTGAGATCACACCAGAATGTGAGATTTTATCGTTAATTTGTTTTTACTGCTTCTTTTTTATTTTATATGCTGCCTGTGAGCAACATTTCTCTTACATTCATGATTCACTTTAATAGTAACCTGACATTTTTACACAAACAGCTTCTCTAGCCGACAAAGTCACTTATACTGATATGAAATAAATGTTTCCTTTGGTCAGCTTAGGCCTCTTAGAACCTAATGTGCACAGTGAAAAGTTGTTCCTGAACAGGTGCCACAGTCAACACCTACAAGTCGTGGGATTTTATGATGATACCAAAAACATTATATAGATCACTTTTGGAGTCACATAAAACAGTATATGATGTTTTAGGGATTTCCTTCTGTTATTGAACCATATGGGGGCGCTATAAAATAGACACAGGGTCAATAAAAGTAATGATTTGAATGTAACTCTTTGCTGCAGTTGCTTTAATGAGGTGTGGAGGTGATAATCAGAGACTTATTTCTATGCATTTATCAAGCCTGACACACAGGAGCAGGTCAAATTATAGCAGCTACTGTGGTAGGAGTTTTTTTAATCCAAATTTGTGATATTTCCTCATTGTAAAAGTGATAGTCAGCATGATATTGTGATCCGTTGTCAGGTGCTTCAGGACGAGCAGGACCTCCGAGAGGAGCAGCGTAAAAAGAAGGAGGGTCTCTTCCAGCGGACGGGTCGTTTCCGTCGCAGCACGTCTCCCCCCAGCAGAAACCTCTCCCTGTCCCTGTCCAGACATCACGACTCGACGCTTCCCTGCATGGACCCGTCTCCCTCTGTGACACTCCTCTCTCTGTCTTCTCTGTCCGACTGCAACTCCACCAAGTCCCTGCTCCCCTCCGACCCGGACGAGTACCCCCTGACCCCGATGACAGGGGTCAAAACGCCGGCGGCGCCTCCAGCTCCGGCCCTCAACCCACTCCTGGACCTGCGGGCCGAGAGCTTCAAGAAGGAGCCCAACCAGTCGCTGACGCCGACCCACGTGTCTGCAGCCATGGCACTGAACAGAGGACACAGACGAACCCCTTCAGACGGGGCAATACGACCCCGAGCCCAAACTCTGGGGCACCGCAGGACGCCGTCAGATGGGAGCATGCCCATGCCTCCTCCACCGGGAGCTCACATCACAGCACACAAAGGTACAGGGACAAATGATTTACATTACATGTGACCAGTTTTTTGACCATTTACTAACAAACGTGGGAGCCTGTAGTTAAGATTCTTTGCAATACACATCTGGATAAAGTTTAATGACTATCCATCCAAGATTTGTGGAGATAAGTGTCTTCAATTACAGAAGACAAACATGGTGGACGAGTCGGCAACATAGAATAGCAAAAGTACATAAGAACTAAAACACATAGTTAATTTACAACAATCACTTATAACAAATAAAATATGATCTCAGCAACATTATTTAAAATGATTGCACTTCTCATGAAGCAGTTAAAGTTGATTTCTTGGCTTCTAGAAAGACATTCGATCAATTTAACAATAGAGCCATCACAGTTTATTTATTTTGTGAAAAAGTCATGTTATTATTGTATGATGATGCTTTTGGGAGCAGGGACTGTCTTGACTTGGTCCCCTTTTGCATTCAAATCCTTAAAGGAAAGAATGTAAATAAACTTTCACTAACTATGGATACATGCATCCAGGTTGTAACCATTTGTAGCAACATTAAGCATTTTTGTTTGGTGATCCGAGCATTCTTGACTTACATGGTCCAACTCCTAAACAGTTTTGTTGCCATTGGGGGAATATTGCACTGTGACAAGGTAATCACTGCTATTTACTTAACCTGCCAGTAGTTTTAATGTTTTGACTGGTTGGTGTAGACACCAAACAAGATGCAGAAAAAATAGAAATCGATAAGAAGTGATGAAAAAGTGAATAAATGGTTGCCTAAAAGTATGGATGATAGTTGAATTTGCTAGCAGGAAGTATGGCAGTTGAAAGCTGAAAGTAATGATTGAATATTAAAATGTTTAGCTTAAACTAACGAATAAAAAGCTCAAAACTAACCTAAATATTCACAGTTCAACTGGATGAAAAAATATTTTACCAGTGTCTACTTTTATATGTGTTAAATAACATCAGATGTAAAATTAAACAACAAAATGGTGTTGATGAAGGAGGTCTTTAGTCTGAGAGGCCTGCGGGGGTCGATCAGATAAACAAGACGGGAAACCACTGGCTCCTGCCTGAACAAAGCTCTAATAACGTACACGGTCAGTTCTGCTTGTTTGTCCTCTTGCTTTTATTTTCTGACAGCTTTGTTATCAGAGGTTTATACAAGCACTTAAAAATTCCCAGCAGTCCCTGCTTCAGCAATAATTTTATTGATAATTTTGATGATGAGAAATAAAAGCAACATGATGTTTACTGCAACTTTTATACGGTACAGTAAAAGATCCCAGGCAGCTGTGGTAGGAAAATATGGCCAAGCCCCCAAAGGGTTCATCTTCTGGTTGTAAATTAGACACAAACTTGCAGTTAGTGGGTTCACACATGCAAAACACTTCATTACGCCTCATTATTTGATCTCAGGCTGCAGCTGCTGAATATTCTCTTGCTGATTAGTCTGGATATGATTTTCTCAATTCATGGTTTGTCCATTAAATGTTAGATGTTCTTCAAATACAAGATTTACTTTCATGCACGCTGAAGAGAAGCACTGAGTGCAGAAACTTGAACCAGAAAACATTTGTTTGTTTGAAGTATGATGGACTTTTCTTTTGTTTTTCAGGCACACTGGACACCCTGGACATCCCTCGCCTCCCGGACCCCTCCACCATTTTCCCAGTCCCCCATCGGCGTAAGGCTCCCGCTCCTCCCATCCCTAACCCGGACGCTCTCTGCCTCATCAGCCCCTTGGAGAGACCCAAGACGCTGGAGTTCGCCCCCCGGCCGCGGCCTACCCCGGCCCGGATAAAACCGGACCCCTGGAAGCTGGGCTCTCTCTCCCGGACCCTGAGCTCGTCGCCGGGCAGCAGCTGCGACAGCCCGCTCGGTTCAGGCGACAGCAGCGCCAGCACCGCACGGCCCAACCTCATGGACATGGACATGGAGGGCCAGAGTTCGGACCCCACCGTCCCTCTGTGTGGGCAGCTGCAGCCTGCAACTCTGTGCGGACAACAATACTCATAGTGAACTTCTTTTTTTTTTTTTGCATTCAGACTCGTGTCCTGAGACTTTTGAGCTTAGGCTAAATAAGGAATGCCTACTGATGTCTGAGCCGAGCAAAGTGCACTCACTGAAGTCTGCAAAAACATCCCACTTCTTGTCATGTTTTTAGGCACTTACTGGAAGCCATCACTCTTGTGTGCCCTTGTAGTGTCCTAATAAGGTGTGAATCCCTTACAGCAAGCCATTCCCTGCTATTGCTCACTAACCTGCACGACACTGAGGGTCCTAGAGGCCTTTTAAAAGCCTTGTAGAGTGCTCACCCACCTTTCTTACCCTACTTTACCCTTCCTTCTTTTCCCCTACTTGGAAGCCATCTCTACCTGCTTCTTAGCACCTCATGACTGGTTCACATTTCCTTCAAGACTCCTCAAAAGCCATTCAAGCACTTAAAAAGCCACTTTTCCCCCCCGACTTTGCTAACTGGTCATTTCAAACCATTTGCTTGTGCTCTTGCTTGTCTGTGTAGCTTCCCACTTTCTGCTTGCATCCTTCTCACTTTAAAAGACCAGAAGAATCCTCATTGACCTTTCAGGAGTGTTTCCCCTGAGTAAAATAAAAAAGGAGGAGCTGGACTGGTTAAAATTCTTACTAGAGTATCCTTCTGTTCTTATTTTACACACAGTTTCTTATGCCGGTGCACAAACATCTCCCATAAGCTCTCCTTCATCAGCTCTGCCTTCATCCTCACACTTGTCATTTTTCCCTCCAACACTGAGACAGGAAAAAGCCTTTTTATTCCTCTCGGCACTGGTGGACTGCTTCAATCGTCAGCCTTCGAAATAAGTTTGTTTTCTCAGTGCTTGCACCATCCCTGCTGCAACCTGTTAGCAAAAAAGTTTTTTCTATTGGTTTGGCAGCCCAGGTGTGTTTCTCTATGTGTGAATGTGTATATATTACTGTACATGTGTGGATGAACAAAACGTTTCTGCGTGCTGGTGCTTTTTCAGTGCATGTCATTTTACATGTGAATGGTTCGCTGGACGCAGCACCTCTTCCAAGTAAGACCACTGGTTGCTACGCCGGTTCTCATCCTTTTTTTTTTGTTTTTTTTGCATTTCTTTGACATTCCTCATCGTAGCACTCTGGATCCTGCTCATGCCATTGAAATGGACGCAAAATGGGAACCATCAACCTCATCGGAAACTTCACATTCTCTCCTCTGACCTGCTGTATTCAAACATCAGTGGCAACTAGTTAGCCTCCGTGCGGACGAGTGGACTCGGCACAAAGCGCTCTCGTCACGGCTGACAAATCAACTTTTATCTCCGGAGTTGTTTTCGTATGGTGGACATCCTGGCTGCAGATGGTATTTACTTGACTGTGCAAATTTCTCTTGGTGAGTGTGTGTGAGTGTGGATTTGGGTGTATGTGTGTGCGTGTGCGTTGTTATTTGTATGGGATGATGACAATCCCGTCAGTAGAAGAGTGAGCCCGAACTCATTCTCCTCGTGTGGTCAAGAACACTGAGTATTTATTAAATTTATTGTTATTAATGGAAAAGGATTAATTATTATTACAATGCTCTTCCTGGGATATCTGTATATATTTGTTAATATAACAGGAAAAACCAAGGAAAACCTAGGAAACTGCTTACTGAAACATCCATGTTGTCTTTGGTCTCAACCTGTGACATTTCTGGGTTCAATGAGGAATAAGTGTGAATTGTGATGAATGAGAGATGAATTAAAAAAAAAAAAAAAAAAGAAAGATGCTTCAGTGTTTGTACTACATCTGATTTTGTTATTGTCACGAGGTCATGTAATCATATAATATCCCGTACTTTAGTAAACACACCAGTACAACGAGGTAAAAATTCCATAAAAGAAAGAGAAACTTAAAAAATTTGATTTTTTTGGAGGGGGAGTTATTAATAACTCAAGAGTTTACACAAGTACAGCTGAAATTATTAAGTTATGAGTAAGTTGATTGACAAAAAATCTATTGGCAGTTGTTGGTAACTGGTATTTCTCAATTTTTGCATAATTTTTAAAAACCAAATAATTGATTAATTGAAAAACTAATCATTAGTTGCAGTTTGATACTAAGTAGTTGTTACATGAAGTTTTACATTAATGCTTGAGTAACAATTTATGATACAATATGTGGTAATATAGCAGTCACAGGGGACAGGGGTCTGTAGTGAGTACTTGTAATACTTGTAATACATTTTGGTGATAATACTTGTTCAATGCATGACTTTTATTTTTAAAAATGTGGTGTTATTAGTTTTACTCAAGGATGTGAATATTTCCTCCACCACTCGGGGACCAAACAGTTTGGAAACCACAGTTTCAATCTTTAACAAAAAAAGTTGAGTTTCATTCATAAAGTTAGAACAGCTGTCAGATAAATGCAGTGGAGTAAAAAGGATCGTTTTGTCCTTTGAGATGTTGTAGAGTTGATGTCGACTGCAGCAAAATTAAAACAAAAATACCTTAGAATTACACTTGATTACAGCTCTTGAGGAAATGGGTACTGATGGTTATTATACTGCTGTTGTTTCAGGAACAGTTGAACATTGTTTGGTAGTGATGAAAAATAGTTATGTACGTTTTCTCAGGTACTGTGTGTAAGCACAGTTTTAAAGTACTTTACGTGAGTATTTCCAATTCGTGCATCTATATACTTTCACTTTGCTACATCTCAAAGGGGACGATTGTACTTATTACATTTATTTGACAGCTTTAGTCACTTTTAAGATGACAATTTTACACAAAGGATAAGTTTTAAAAATGCAACACATTGTTAACAGTTAATGTAGTAGTTTCCAATCTTATTGGAAAATAGTAATTTTCTACCTCAAGTGGTTTCATTTTAATAAATCCTCACATTTCAAAATCTTAAATCAAGGCTAGTGATAATGTCCAAAACTGAAAACAGATTTGTGGATCAGAACTTTTTCTTCTTCTTCTTCTTTCCTCTCCCAGTGTTTCTCCTCAGATGTATCTGCTTTCCCTACATGTATAAAACAGTGTATAAAGTAGAAAAAAGTAGCTCTACTTGCAGCAGCTACAACAGCAACACACTGATGCTTCATATTAATAATGCGATGATGTCATATATAGCAATATATCAGAGGAACCAAACCAGTGTACATTCGCTGCTAACATTTCTGTATTTTTACCAAAAAGTGGAATTTTACATGCAGTGTTTTCACATTGCTGCGTTGATACCTAAAGAAAATCATCTAAATACTTCTTCTACCGATGTTGTTTGGTGCCAACACTCCAGGTACCTGCAGACAAAGGCATCAGGCAGTAACAGATAGAATCCTCTAGGTGTCACCACTGTGTCCTATGATGTCATTTCTTGCCCAAGTCTGCTGTTTTTCTCCATGTCATGCATTCCTGTAGTCGCTCCCTGACACTGCAGCTGCCACAAAAGGCTGATCAAGGTGCACTAGTGCGTTCAGCACAGCTAACAAAAAAAAAATCTTAAATCTGAGATGTTAGTAAGTGAACGGCAAACGAAATGTGATATTTTATTCCGATATGTCAACCTCTGAATGTAAAGACAGATGGAGACATGCAGTGTGTACAGATGTTACAACACACAAACCCTCACACTCTCCACTGCCGCGTCTGTCTGTGTGACCGCCAATCAAACACCCTTTCAGACGCCAGCCAGTTACCTAGCAACCCCTCTTCACTTCCATGGTGATGCTATTAAAAGCAACAACACACACTCACAAAAACAGGAAGAAAAAAATGGACGATGGGCCTGAAAATGAAGTGAAGAAGAGCGAGAGAGAGAGAGAAAGGTGATAAAGTGGCAGCAGAATGGATTCAGCAGGCTGAGCGTCGCGTGGCCGGTTCACAGCTCTCACACACAAACACACAACAACAGGAGTGATTTCTTTGTCTCTTTCCATCTGACTGCTGTCCTTTTTCACAGCTGTGATGACTCTCACATTTGTCACCTTCTCGGTTTTGCATTTTCCTCAACAGTTGTTCACCATATTTCCTGCTTTTTTAGATCCGTCTTCCTTTGTCTCGGGGAGCCATCATGTCACTGCAGACATATTTTACAGGCAGATTCAGGTGGTGACAGTGTTGCCTGGATAAGGACAGACGCACAAAAGAGAGGTGGACAAAGAGGGAGAGACACAAATGAGTGTTTTCTGTTCGCGTTTGAAGTGAACAACTAACCAGATTGCCTGCCAGTTGGTGTGTCGTCAGCTCTGCAGAAGGACTCTCTTTGTCTTCTGCTGAATCTTCATCAGATCATTTAACCACTAATGAAGTTTTATCCTGAAATACTGAATATATTAATGAACAAATCTGAGCTAAGTGAGTGTATTTTAAGTACAAAATACTTGAAAATGTTTTAAAAAAAAAAAAGCCTTGACATGTATAAAGATCAATTAAGAGCGGTCATCTCATGATTAAAGGGCCATTCTGCTAATTTTACGTGTCAGAGTCCGTTCATTCATCATGACAAGGGTTACTTAATGGATGAGAACAGTTGTATAACATCATCTGTGGCACTTGAGGGGCTTTGCCGAGTGTAATAAAAAACCTCAGTTTCCTAACAGAAAAACCAAGATTAATGGTTAGAGCGCATGTAACATATTATGCAGGATTTGATCTCAGTTGTAATCTCCATCTCTACACGATGGACTGTCCAAAAACCACAAAATTTGAAAGATATGGACTTTGACCAGGCACTTGGGAGTGATGAACGGATTAGTTATCACGGGAAGGTTAAAGATCTTCCAGTATTTTTGTAGCCTGACACATACTGCAGATTTAAAAGTCATCAAATCAATTCAAGCTTCTGCTGCTTAGAGTTGAACTATTTAGTGAAAGACACGTTGGGATGTTTTGATAACTTCTTGGCTAAATAAGCAACCACCAAACTAAGAAATACATTTTGGTTTGCCCCCAGTAGTTGACCAAAAGTTAGTCAATGACTAGTCTCACAATCAGACCATTCTCTAAAGTTGTCATAGCGCTAAACTCATAGCTAAACTCTAAAGCAAACAAGAATACATGGAAAGTGCTTAGAAACTTTTGAACAATAATTTTCATGATGCTGAGCAGCTTAAATGTGCCGAAAGCTCTGGAAACTGCAGATATTCTATGATCTTGAGCAACTTATCCCAATTTTCCACAGCATTAAAACCTTTAAAACAGCTCTGCCTTTTTTGGGGCATGGACAAAAGAACTCTTTGGATGTCCTGAACTGGAAGATTAGCAGCAGATTATTTAGGTCCTCAACGTTACAGATTAGAATCTGAGTAGTTTCGAGCCCGAGACAGCGCCTTGAGCTCTTTGTCATGTTCCTCTAGCTGTTTGGCGTGTTGTGGTGGGGCACGTTATGTCTTAGGGTAGGCTAACGCTGATGGTGAGTAGTGTTGCTGGTGGATGTTCCTGATCTGCAGCAATGTTTAGCTGGATGCTACATGTCAAAGTCACATCCACATGAATGCCGGGATGTCAAATTTTCCAGCAGAACATTACTTTTGTTTACAAGTTAATCTGTGTTATTCACCTGTCAATGGTTTTAATGTTGATCGGTGGATGTCTGCTTAGGAAGATCTTGTGATGTGATTGTGAAAGATCAACTACTAAAAGGAACTTAGAGGGCAGTCGAGAGTAAATTTTACATGAGTTTACATGTTCTCCCCGTGCAGCGTGGGTTCTCTCCGGGTTCTCCAGCTTCTCCCACACAATCCAAAAGCATGTTGAGGTTAATTGGTGATTCTAAATTGTCCGTAGGTGTGAATGTGAGTGTGCTTGGTTGTCTGTCTGTAAGTGTAGCCCTGTGATAGACTGGTGACCTGTCCTGGGTGTCCCCTGCCTTCACCCTAAGTCGGCTGGGATAGACTCCAGCCCCCCCGTCACCCCAGTGAGGATTAAGGAGTGTATAGATAATGGATGGATGGATGGATGGATGGATGGATGGATGGATAGATGGATTCCACATTTTCTGTCAGACTTCAGAAACAGAACCACCGCGGTGATTCTAGAGAAAAAATGGTGGACTGTCCCTTAAAAGCACCCTCACAGATTAAGCATTGCACTGCTACAACACTGTTGCGAAATTACCCACAATGCAACTTGACTGGACTCCCTCAACTGCAGAGATTCAGTTGTGTTGTGTCAGCAGCAGGCTTCAACACTCCAAAAAAAAGCTCCTGTCTTTTTTAACTCAACTCCCTTTTCCTTTTCGCAGATTCAGTGAGTGTAATCAACAACAACAACAACAACAACAACATTCCGCTTTGTTTGAAACTTTATTCATAATCTTCATTTACCAATCAATAGTGCATTCCCGGGCTAGCAGTTCAGTAAAACCAGTGATGGAGGCCAGTCGGATGTCTGGATGTCGAATGGAAAAAGGCCTCTTGGAAGCGAGGCGAGACAAAAATGTGGTCTTAGCCTTGACGTCCCCAGCTTCATGTCCTTCATGTCAACACAGAAACAAACAGGATGGAGGCCTGCGGCTCTGGTTCGAGTTCCTCAGAGTTCTCATCCACTCCTGTGTTTACCGGCCGTCTTACTGTACAGAAACAGACGAGTCGGGCGAACGGTCAGTCGGATGGAGGGGTCGAAGGGCTTTGCACGCTCTCTGAGCCGGTTCTTGATCCCTCGACGAAAAGGGACGTCAACAGAAATACCAACAAATACAGACACAGTCACAAAGCAGCTCTGTGGAGCAGCTATAGTAAAATTCTCTTTTCTATCTCTCGCTTTGATAAAGTAATTCAATAAAGTAAAGCTTTTCACAACCATAAAACTTTTCATTTTTGTTAATTTTTTTTGTACATTTGTATCATATATTCACAAAAACTACTTTTGACATTTGACAAACATTTACCTCAAATGACATCAAAGTAAAAGAGCAAAAAAAAATCAATAAAAAAAATTAACACAGCCAGTAGTTTTGAACTTTTCCGCCTCTTTTTTTTTTTTCTTCTTCTTTTTTTTGTGCTTTTAGTTTGTTTTCAAAGCTACACTGATGCAGAGATCCGGTGTCTCTGTTTCTATATGCACACACGGCATGTTGTCGGATCACAATAACAGCCTCGGAGTCATTAATCAAGAGGACCCACCGGCTAGAAACAAACCTGTTTTTATGTGCAGCTAGTTATCCCTAGACGGTCGTAGCACACGTTGAGCTCGAATGACTTAGCACAGTGAGACAAAAACAAGATGGCGGACTGGTGCCATGGAGAGAGGACCACAGGGGGAAGACCTATCCTCGAGGGGCCCGTGGGTGAGGAGACTGAGCCCGGGCAGCCATGGAGACCGAGCCTGCAGGTGCCGCTCCTCGCTGTTGTGTTGATTTATCTCCTTTGGGGAAACAAGGAGTCATAGAAAGAAAATGCAGAGAGCAGACGCACATCAGGAGTGAGGAGGGCTTCTGCAGGTAACGTTTTCACTCTGTTCTTGACAGCGTCCCTCAATTTTGGATCTAATTTAAGTGGTCTTCAACCCATAAAACCCATAAGAATTACAAGATATAACTGAGATAGCCAATTTCACAGACAGTATCTTACACATTCCCTGCACTATATATCCAAAAGTATGTGGACACCCTTGAATTGTCTAATACTGAACAGACAAATCAGCTGTTGTGACGTAAATATGAATAACATAAAATGTAAAAACTGATCTTGTTATGATATATTTCATCCTTTCTCAATAAAAGCCTTAATGGAAGGTTTTTATTTTTAAAAAAGCCACTTCAAGTCTGCTTTTAAATCAAGACCACCAATCACTGGTTGTGTGTTTAGCTGTTTGCTTTGTCCAGCCTGAACTTATTTAGTCCGACCCCTACCATAATCACAATACTACAGTTTGCAATATAACGTACAGAAAGATTTTTCCCAGTTTAATGTGAAGCAGCTTGACTCGCCGGCACAAAAAACCCCAATCACATCCAACACGTTGCCGGCTGTGAGCCAGACCTCAACGCCCGACATCAATAATGATCTTGTGGCTGAATGGGAGCAAATTCCATCAGCCAGGTTCCTAAATCTTGTGGAAAGCCTGTCATGGCAGCAGATTAACAGCAGATTCAGCTACGGGTGTCCACATACTTTTGGTAATTTAGTGTATAATGATAAATTAGCTCTAAACTTGTCTGCCACAGCTGCTTTACTAGGGCTGACGGTGGCCTACTTCTCCTTCCACTGGAGCCTCTCTGTATCATGCAGGTCCCTTCAACGTATGGTGCCATCTCTCCAGAGTCCCATTGACACACTTAGGTCCCCATTTACCTCATAGCAGGTCAATGAAATAAACGGGGTGGGGAGGGGTGGGGGGGAATCTTTTCCCAGCGCCTCTCTTTGATTTGATTTCCTCCTCCACCTCTTTTTGAGTTTCTTAAGCAGTGGAATAATCCGTCACCTCAAGCCAGAAGGTGACCCTAAATTATTAAAGACCTCCTTTTAATTCAAGAAATATCTGATACCTATTCTACTGCTGTGATCACAGTCTGTCGCCACCTTCTGTGTTTTTTAAAGGGCAGAATGGATAAAACAGAGGTATGAGCAAACAGCTTAGTGGCAGCATGCCATGACAGAAAGCAATAGAGCAGATATAATCCCCATTCCAAAACATCTGAAGTCACTCTCTGGAGCCGCACGTTACATGCAGGAGGTGGGCTTGCACACGAGAAAGAGGAAACTGGGTTTCATGGCACCAGAGACAAGGGAAATTCAGGTCATGCTTTCACAAATTATCAATCCAACCTTCTGCAGAACAGGGCAGGCGGATTTACGCCCGTGGTAAAGCTATTAGAAAAGCAATATTTGCATTATCAATGATTCAGCTTCACAAGTCACAAGAGAAGCAGCGGCAGCGCTTGACAGCTAGTAATGGATATCCACAAACCATATCGTCAGTCGCGTCTAATGCTAATGTTGAGTGTTTTTAGTCCAACGATCTTCAGAGATGTTTTATCTATCAATAAACTGTGAGCACGAAGAAATCTCAAATGGCTCGCTCTTGTTGAAGTGCACTAAAGCTGAGTGCTCCAAGATGGCGGTTTTGGACTGTCAGGACAGATGCGTGTGTGATTGTTTTCCCTGCACTAACACTGCCCAGAGTCTCCTCGGTGTCTTATCGATGTCTGGGAAGCTTCAGCATTAGCGATAAAAGGTTGGACCTCCGTTTCGGATTTGTCAAAGTGTTTTTCTTGCCGGGAAACTTTAGAGCGGATCTCCATCGAGCCAACGGCGGTTGATGGAACTCCAATCTCATTGGCTATTTTCCGTTGTGACATCATTAACGGGAGGACAGAAGGCGTCGATGGGAGGGAGGGAGAGGCCTCGACAGTCTCGACAACATTAACATGACTCTGGAGGGGCAACGGATTCAAGACACACCAGTTTCCACAATAGCACACCTGATTAACAGCAAGAACCGCTGGAAAAATTGTGTCTCTTTGCTGCACACGCAGACGCGATTAACCGCTGATCTCTTACTACTGAGTATGACAGCAAATTAAAAACCCTAATGACGGATTACAAACACTTGAATTAGCCCTTGAATTGAAAAAACAGTCTAGAAACTGAGATACATGGCGTTCCAGGAAAGAAAAGTGAGACAGACAAGTGGTAGATTAAGCACAGAGGCAAGGTTTTTTTTTTTTTTTTTCTCTACTAGATGAAAGGTTTCTGGTGCTAGTCTGTCCCATAGTCTGGGTAAGGGGCCTGAGTGAGCCCTGTTGGGTTTGGATGTACAATCAAATTGGGCTGTAGTCTTGATATGTGTCACACACACCCCCATTGATATTCCCTAATTATGCTTCAAACTGCCTGCACACACCAACACACACCCCCCCGCCCTCCTCCCGGTGTGGTCGAGCTTCCCAACCCCCATATTCTCCTCAAAAGCGTTCAAAGTAAGACGGAGAGAGAGAAGGCAGAGAGAGAAAAAGAGAGAGCAGAAACAAAATGCATTTTATGCGTTTAAAACATTTACTAAATCACGCAAATGTCCATTAGTCATAAGTATGTTTTGAAGCTCCTTTTTCATTCCACCACAATGACGGTTTCATATGAGTATAATACAGCATCCTCCTTGTTTTGTTTTTTTTTGTGGATTTTTCTTTTTTTGTTTTTTTACATTTTTTTAATGTTTGCTTGCTGACTGCGTCTAGGGAGAGGAACCACAGCACCTGAGGGAGAAATGGGGGGAAAAAGAGGAGCAAAGAGGAGGAAAAGAGGAGGGCGGGTTGCAGACAGCGCTTGATATGTGTCCCATTTTTGTCCATCACAGGCGGGCGATGGGGTCTCTTCTGTCTGTGCTGCTGTCAGGAGTCAATAGAGGAGGAGAGGAGGCGAAGAGAGGGAGGGTCACTGTAGGACAGCTCGAAGGGGTCAAAGGTCGGAGGAGTCGGGGGGGGACGAAAAGGTCGAAGGTTTAGCCCTGGGTCTCTTTGCCGCTCTCTCGTTCCCGCTGTCCACTCTTGCTCATCTTCATCTCTGTCAGCTGGATGTATCGCAGCACATTGGTATCTGTGATGGAGAGAGAAAATGGAAATACAGAAAAGAGTCACATTTTTACTTCAATAAATGCAATCATTATTGTTAATTAGGATGAAGATTCCAGAAGTACAAGCCTCAGACATTTTGTCTATTAAATATCAAATACAGAGTTTAAAGCTTTGAACCACCCGTGAGACGGAGCGTGACCTACAAAAATGTATTTCAAAGCAAAAGGAATACTGAAATGTTAAGGGACAATGTAAATGCACAAGGCTAAATGTCAATGTTTTAATCTTTTGAAAGCTAGAAGCTGCTGGCAGATTTGAAAGACATCTTCAAAGAAATTGCCAAAACTGCATAATTTATCTGAGATTGTAAAAACATCTTTAAACTCCTTGTGGTCCTTGAACTACTCATCTGGGACGTGCTGCTCTGTCAGTAAAACTAGCTAAATCAAAATTTTAAGAATATATTTCAGCAAGACAACTTTATTCTATATGTGTTATTTAAACATTTGTGCAGTTCTGTCCATAAAAATAACCAAATCTGGGCTTAAAATTGTGATAATTCATTAAAATCCCTTAATTATTCGTTTCTTATTCATAAATTTGCCAAAAATAATTTTTTGCACGAACCAGATTCTGTAAAAAAAAAAAAATTCTTGACACAACCAAGAAACCATTACTGACTCAGATGCGACCAACAGTGACTTTTTAGTTGAACTGTAGCCTGCGTATAAACAGAGCAGATAGTAGACGAGGATGGAAACTTCCATCATTTGTGCTACACCTGAAAAAATGTTGATTCCAGTTTTTTTCCATTATGTAAAACAAAAAATCAACGTTTTCCCTTTTAAGAATTTATGACATTTTAACTTTGCTATACTACACAAAAGACATTTTTGAGTTCTCTTTACTTCTATTCATGGCTGTGCTGTTTCCATAGGGGTACATGACTTCATATTACAGTGAAAAATGAGCCTACATCGAGTAAAAATGTGACAGGAGCAAATGAAACGCTTGAAGTTCAGAGGGTTAAACCGGAATCACCTGCTAATCCCATGATGCTCTGCAGCCCCCATCAATTAAAACAAACAGAGGAAATTACTAGCATGTCAACACAAAGCTGCTCTCTGATATTAAAAACTGAGCTTGCAGTTGCTGCCGCTGCTCCGTTTTGTTTGTCTAAACGGTCGAGCTTGTTGACTCTGATGCACGTGGCTCATCGGAGAGCAGATGAGAAACTGTGGCGGAGCAGCTGCTACAGTACATTACTCTTCCACTGTTACCGTCTCTGCAACTTTTCCAGTAGATTTAACAGCTTAGATTGAGTATCGTTTGCAATTTGGGACTAAACAACAAAACTGAAATCAGACTTTAAGGTGCCAGCAGAGTTTTTACATGAACATGGACAAAGTGAGACTATGCTTCAGCAAAGGCAGGGAAGAGGAAGCCTACTAGAAAGCAAACATAAACCCCTTTCACACATGCACTACTTTCCATTAATCTGATGGCATCTGAACGCTTCGTGTCTGAACGAGCGCTCTGCTCCCTTTTCTGCAAAGGTCTCAACCACAATCTCATTAAGTTGCACCTAATAACCACTTTCAACACGTGGATTCAACAGGAGGAACAAGAGGAGTCAGACAGGGGACTTTTATTGTCCTTGTTGGTAGCGTTAGTGCCAGCCTTAAACGTAACATTACAGGGTAATAGTAGCAATATTGATTTCACGCTGGCAGTCTGATTAGCTTTTATGGTGTATTTCTAGCCCCTTGTTCCTTGGTGTGCTGTCCAGTTTCGCAGATATTCTCTCTTAGTCACTGTTGTGGGTGTGTCTGGTAACATAAAAAGGCTCACAGACATCAGAAGCAGTCCTACCACTCTTAAAAGCAATGGAGTCCAAACAAAAAAGGTTTCTAAAATTGACTAATTTACTTATTTTAGCTTCCATATGTTATTTTTTGCAATTTACTATTTTCAATTTTTTATCGTTTATTCAACAGAGATAAAGCACAATACATGTATGGCACCAAATTTAGCTAAAAAGATCTTTTTCATCCATTGTTCCTGCAGATGCCACAAATGATTCACAGGTTCTGTTGCACTAAATCAAACCTTACACTTTGAAACTGTAAAAACAACGAGTTAAACAGAGTCGGCTGATAAAATATCCATCATTGTAGAATGTGAACTCCTCCCATGTTGCTCAAACCCAATTAACTGCCTTGTAAAGAACATGGTGCGTTTAATATTACAGTACCAGACACGATCAGTAATGTTTTTTACAATCTGGACATTAAGCTTGTGTTTTATTAGTAATAATAATACTAATAATGATAATAACAATACATAATACTTATATAGTGTTTTTCAAGACACTCAAAGATGCTTTATAAAGAAGATCAGAACATACAAAAAAAGAAATTGAGTGGAGAAAGGAGCATATAGAAAAGAGGATTTCTGAGTTGTCGGCACTGTTGAAAATATGTCTTTATGGATTTCTTGAACATGGAGAGTGAGGATGCTTTTAGGGAGTGAGTTCCAGAGAGTGTGCCCACTAGAACTGTAATAATACATTATAATGCACATAGTCACCTGTGGGTTCACGGTTCTTGGCATCACGCAGGTATCGTAGGGCACATTCGTAGTCACCCAGGTGATAGAAGGCGATGCCGGCCCGGTACATGGCCTTGAAGTGGTCTCTCTGGTGGCTCAGCACCTTCAGACAGTACTCCTTCACTCTCTCGTAGTTTACCAGCTCGGACTGCAACAGACACGCTGCAGGGAGGAAAGGCGAGCGAGTTAGATTGACGATGAAACCGTGGTCATTTAAAACATTTGCCTCATTCTGTCCCCCACAAACACCTCGAGGCTCATTTAGTGAAGTTTAAACGAGCAGCGCGTCCCAGGAGCGAGAAACAAAGACGGGGATGTTTTGCTGACATCTCACTCTGTGTCTTTTAATAGAGCCACAGTGAAATTTAGCCTCCACAGTACTTCCTCAGGGTGGCAGTGAGCGGACTATAAATAGCCAGCACTAATGTCTCACAGTGTAGAGAAAAGACAAAAAAGTCGTGCAAGCAGTTTGAGCCTCGGGGCAGGAGAGCAGCATCTCTATATGCTGCTGTTGAACTCGGCATGCAAATTAGAGGAACGAGGGGTCAAAGAAATGCTGTGAGGATGCTTAAGTCTTATGCCTTCGACTTATCAGATGGCTTGTGAGGGAAGCAGGAGGGAGGACGAGAAGAAGGACACCAGGATCACACAGAGATACAGCGACGGTTCTTGATATTGCTGAGATCAACCGGCTGAAAACAGACACAAAGTGCAGCACAGAGGCCCTCAAGAATAAGACTTGCATTTCATTGTAGTCATTGAATCCTATAGATCGCTGCGGCGTTTCTCAGCAGCTCCGAGACCAGCTGAGGTCAGAGTAACTTCATTTGTAAAGACACACAAAGACACACAAAAAAAATCACATACACACATAGCTTTTAGTCCAGCAAAGCTTTTAAACGCCTGCTGATGGCTCAGATATCTGATCACTCAAACACTATTCCTCTGGTGATCACAACCACTCGAGGTTTTACTTGCATCCCCCCCCACACCTCCCATCATTCCTTCCGTCTCTGCTTGTGACTTCATCTATCTGGTGATGTATCAAAAATGATTTCCCCCTCCTTCCACAGCCATCCCGTCCATCCCACCCTTCGCCCTCCCTGATCCAGCTCCTTTTCATCCTCCCTCTCTCCTCCCAGTCTGTCCTTGACACACAGACAGCTCTGTGAATAACATGAGTCAGGAACAGTTAGCTGGGAGGCAGTGGGTGAGTCAGGAGTGAGAGACGGAGAGGGGAGAGGCAGGGATGAAGAGGAAGAGGAGGAGGAGGAGGAGGAGGAGGAGGGTGTATGTGTGGGAGGTTGGGGTTAAAGTGGAGGAGAAAGGGTGAGACCTGTGGGAGGGGTGAGGAGAAGCTGGGAGTGTGTTAAAATCAGTTAGTGGCTCTTTACCCACCATCTCCCCTAAATGTCACCAAAAAAAAAACTGTACAAAAAGGGAAACGGTCAGTGTTTTTATCAAATCAGAGGACCTAATGGAGCTACACACAAACACACACACACACACACACACACACACACACACTTATACACGCGCTCCAGCCTTGCCCGTCAACAACTCAACTCCAAAACACTAAATAATTCATCGTGGACATCAAGGGGCGAACACATTGAATAGCAATCAATATGTTTTTGGTATTTAGTAGCTGAAGTTGTGTATGTCTGATAGATGTAACGCAGGCAGGACGTTGTGTGTCCTCTTTGTGTGTGTGTGTTTGTGTGTTGCCTCAAGACACAGCTACAGATATGAACTTTACTTCAGCACATGCAATTAAAATAAACATTTTAGTGAAGGCATCGTTGCCTCTATCTTCTTTATTTAAAAGCGCATCAGGGAATGTATTTAATGTTTTAAATGCTCTTTATTATTATTATCCACAATCCACATCACATTACTGTAATTATAATCCCTTTTAATCTTCTCAAGAGATGTCCTCCCCTTTATCTGGACGTTCTCCTTGCGTCGTGTCGGGTTTATATGGAATGAAATTTAAATAATATGGTATGTTTCTACTCAGGTATTGTACTTAAGTGCAATTTTAAGATGTAGTGTTTCCATGTTATGCTACTATTAGTAGTTTTACCTTCATACTGCAACATTTTGTTGCTAACACGTGTTACTTAAGTAGGACTTTCCATGCCAGACCTTTGCTCGCACTTGCATATATTTTTTGATACTTTTACTTCAGTAAAGCGTCTGAGTACTTCTTTTACTACTGCAGCTCTCATTTCTTGGGTACTCGTCTATATTTTAGCTCGTCATAGTAAGAAAACCACAACATTAACGATGACAAATAGTGTCCCAGCGAGCCACAACATGACCGTGTGTTGCTCAACCATCCTGGCTATGATCATCCCTGTCTCACAAACCTGGAGAAGGAGTCAAAGACACGTCAGCAGAGAGATCATCAGACCCTCGGGAGTGTTACGGTGGTATATTCATGGATATGAATGAACAGGTTCCATGTAAATGCCGAATCCTGAACATAACCATGATACTAATGAATTTCTACATGTGGATGGTATGTAAAGGAGCCTGAAATTCAGCCATCATCATGATTATTATCATCATTACTAATATCTGTGCGAACCTCCCCTTGTGCCTGTGGGTTTGAGAGGCATACTTGTTGCTTTATTTTGTTTTTAATTGCCAAAAAAAGACCATTAATCAGAGTCAGAAACTTGTCAGATTTTTAACTTTCTCACAGTCCTTGAACTAATCATATCTGACATGCAGTTCTGTTGGGCAAATATAAGCTTAAAATTCTAGTATGTGATCAAAGCCATATTATCCTACATGTCGCATTTGAAAATTTGACAAAAATGAATACCATTTAGTAAAAATAGGAAAAATTCTGCCCTCCTCCATGCACAAAAAAATAAATAAATGAGTGACTCAACTATGAGCAGCAGTCACATGATAAAAATTCAGGGACTTATCAGGTGAAATAAAGGCTGTGTTTACAAAAAGCAGATAGGAGACAAGTTAAAAAAAAAAATTAAAATTTGACATGTAAATAGTTAAGTATCTATCGTATGTATAGTTGCCTTTTTTTTCATTACTGATAACATCTGTGGACACTTTGAAAAAATTTTCCAATTTTGTATAACTAATAATTAAAAAAAAAATTGTCTTTATTTTTAATAATTTATGTTACAAGATATAAAAAAATCAAAAATCCAGAAACTGCTTGAGGTTCAGATAATTAATATCTGCACATTTTCTACTGTAACATAAGAAAACATCTTCTTTGATTAACATCTGTTACCAAAGGACAGTAGCATCATTTTCAACACTAAGATGACCCATATATACCGTATGATGAACTTAAACAGAACACATCTTTCCAAAAATGGTTTAAATTGTTTCTTCCTCCATCCATCCATTATCTATACACCGCTTAATCCTCACTAGGGTCGCAGGGGGGCTGGAGTCTATCCCAGCCAACTTAGGGCGAAGGCAGGGGACACCCAGTCCATCGCAGGGCTGTTTCTTCCTGTTAAACCCTTTAAGTTGATGTATGGAAATTGTTACACACACACACATATATAAAAAGCATTAATTCTGTCATGGTTACACTCACACAAACACACACACACACACACACACACACACACACACACACCCTTTGGTAGTAAAAGGAACAAAAGCGAGCTTAACAACCCTCTTATTTTCAGTGAGGCTCGTGACTCAGCCCAGAGTGGAGCATCAAGGTCGAAGCTGCTTCCCGTCCTCGGTGCTCATAAGTCTGCTCAGCACGGTACGGCAGGGATTCACCTCAGACGCCCTCTACCTCTCCTGCACACCTTTTCTACACACTCTACTCCTCTATTTGTTTTTACAACCGCCCAGCAACAACGTGACTACTCTCATCCCTCCACGAAGCCATCCATCATCGCCCTGCAGCGGTGGACGGGAGCGGAGCTTTCAGAGGATTCAGTTACAGTCCATAATGGCATAATGGCTGACGCAGTTAGAGAGTTCACCGACACACTAACATGTACACACACAACACACACGCTTATGATGCACGCAGCTGTTAGAACAACAAAGGTGACTACAAACATGGGTAAAACTGAGGGTTGGGTATGTCTATAATGACAGAGCCGACTCAGACTCACAAGCAGACGATGTAAAATGACAATGTTCGAATCGTACGAATACACACACACAAAAGCAGTGTGCACAAGTGATGACTGGCCGGCCGCACCCTCCTGGCCCATTAGGCAGATGGATGGCATGCCAGAGGAAATGTAGAGTGTGGTGAGATGCATTAAGGGTGTGATAATGACGGGATCATCGGAGCAGGTTGGGCAGGGACATAGGCAGGCAGACAGAGGCCTGATAAACACAACCGGGCAAAATCTCTGGAGCCAAGGTGTCCTCATCGCTGAGGGACACGACTGCTTGCGTCCCGGATGACAGCAGCCATCAGACGGAGGCTGCTACAAATACATGAGACGAGTTGGGAACCAGGGAGGGAAGCAGAGAAAACTAATTTCTGCAACAAAGGACTTCGTCCTCTTTGCTTTTTGTCATGTAAATTACTGGTTAGTTTTACTTCCTAAGGGCTCCAAAGAAAATTATACAATAATTTGGTTGAACTGGTCACAAGTCCAGTCCAGTTTCCCTCAGAATTAATTTATATTCAAGCCCAGTCTCTCAAAAAGTACAATATCCTCACACGGTGGAAAAAGGAGGGAAGTGCCAAACGTTTTGCGAAAGAGTCATATTTTAGCTTAAAGTAATTTAGCCTCATGGATGAACGTCCTGTCATGTCCACACTGGATGGTTCTGTACTTTTGGTACATGTTTCTTATAAGGAGGCTGACTACAGATGTGGAGATCAGGGTGGTGAATGGGCACGTAGCCCAGCTGGCTTTCATGTATAAAACTAGTGTTTGGGTCATCATGGTATCATCAGCTTCCTCCCAGTTTCTTGTATTTCTCTCTCTTCTTTTTGCTTGTTTCTTCAGTTTGTCTTTTTACTTACAGTACTTAGTCTAGCTACCCTTACATACTGTACACTGTTGCCCATAAAGTTGAAATATATATATATATATATTTACCTCTTTTCATGAAATTAAATGCAATTTATTCTTGATAGATGAAGTGTATATCTTCTCAAAACTTTATTGATATCACAATATACATACAAT